CTGCCTGTGTCTCTGCCTCTCTCTCTCTCTCTCTCTTTCTCTCTCTCTGTGTCTCTCATGAATAAATAAATAAAATCTTAAAAAAAAGAAAAAAAGAAAAAGAGTGTCCTACCTAAATATAGAAGCAAAGACATACATTTTTTTGGATCTCCATATGGCCTATAAATATTCATAGTTATGAAAGGCAGTTTGGTGAAGACCATTGCCCTGATAATAAAAACAAAGCAAAATAAAATAACAATAACAACAAAACAGGGTTATAATTCTGATGTTGTTAATCTTGCTAGTTATATAATGCAAGAAAAATATTTTAACTTATTTATAAAAATTTAAAAAATTAGAATAGATAAACTCTAGTTTATAATGTGCTAATATCTGATAATTGTGTTTGCTGTATCATAATACAATGTGTTCCTCAAATATGTATTTTCTAAGGCAAAGTACTTCAGAATGCTAGGAATAGGCCCAAAGTGTATCTATGAAAATCTTAATTGATGAATCATAGGTACCATTTAAACTGATCTTCTAGAATCATGACTTCTCTGAACTCTATTATTAACTTTCTTATTCTACCATGTATTGCTATATTAACTTATGACAGATATGAATCATAAAATAGAGTAACAGGGGATTGCTCATACCACCAAGTAATGAAATGAAAATGTATTTAATGTCCATTCATTAATGGTGATTTCAAACTGGCAACACTGAATTTCTGAGTGCATTAATTTGGCAAAAAAATGGTTTATTTTGTCTGGAGCATCTGTTCAATTCCGACTAAAACACCAACTATGATGACATGACAATTAAAGGACCAGAGATTTTATACTAAAAGAGTAAGTCAAAATATATTACTTATTTGCAGATAACCAATTTTCTAACTGTTGGAAACTAAGACAAGTAGGAGGCAATATATATATATATATATATATATATATATATATATATATATTTTATGGAAGGTCAAGTCTTCTGCTTTCTATGTTTTAAAATTATGGGACAGGGACACATCGGTGGCTCAGCAGTTGAGCATCTGTCTTTGGTTCAGGGCCTGATCCTGGAGACCCGGGGTCGAGTCCCGCATCGGGCTCCCTGAATGGAGCCTGCTTCTCCCTCTGCCTATGTCTCTGCCTCTCTCTCTCTCTCTCTCTCTCTCTCTCTCTGTGTGTGTGTGTCTCTTATGAATAAATAAATAAACTCTTTAAAAATATAAAAAATAAAGTTATGGGACAAAAGTACTTTATTTAAAAAGTGTATAACTTTAAATTATTTTATTGGAAATACATGAATGTGTCTTGTGTGTGGGTAATTTGTTATTTTGAGTTTTTTCTATTCTTCATTCACTAATCTGCTGAAAGACGTTTACTAACAGAAGAGTACTTGTCTATTGTATTATGCTTTCAAAGCAGCTAGAAGAGAATTCTACATCTGGCCATCTCTTCTACGTTATATATACATAAGAATGAATGTGTATATAATCAACCATAAATTCATCTTTTAAAATCTAATTGTGTTCTGTAAAACAGATACTGGCACTTATTTCCATATAATACAGAAATTTGTTAAACAACATAGTTTTAATAATAGAACTCTTATTAAATTGAGGAATATACCGGTGTACACAACTTTTAATCTGAGACATTGTCATGGTAATAAACCTCAGGGAATATTTGGGAAAATATCTGTTTCGGGATGTATGGAATTGAAAATGCAGAAAGGAATATTATATTTTAATCACTTATCTTTCTGGTATGAGTGCCCAGATACATAGGATCATTCCTCCTGAGACAGACTTGTAATTGTCTCCTTCCCTATCAAGAACAAGCTTTTATAATACCACATCTTCTCAAGAAGAAAACTGCAGCCATTCATGACTGTATCATAAAAATGTTCAGGGAAAAGAATAGAGAGGAATCCTTAAATTCATCATAAAAACATTTCTAAATTACTGGAAGATCTAAACTTCTCTTCCCAAATAGCACTTTATGCACTTGGATAATTTTCTTTTCATATAGAGGATAGTCTCCAATGATAATTATGTAGAAAGTTTTATATATGGGGAATTTGGTGAGCTTTCTTTAGATATTTATTTGTTTGTGTCTGTTTATATTTTAAAAAGTGCTTATTGTCAAACAATTCTACAGGTTACTAGCATACATTTTCTTTTAAAATACTTTGGTTATATATAAGTTATCATGGAAAAATAAAAATACAAAATCACTTAAAAAGGGAAAATACAAAATAAATTACATGTATACAAAGACTCTGTCTCATTTTATTACTTATATTTTTAAAAGTTGCATTCTAATGACAAGGGGATACTCATATATCACATTTTCCAATTTCAGATCAAAGCCTAAGCCCTTTAAATTAATTGGGTGAAAACATCAAGGCAGCTTAAAGGCTGTTTAGTTGGTACTTCAACTTACTTACTATTTGAGCAGCAAGAATAAGTTTTCTTCCTTCATGGTATGAGAGGTTGATTCAAGAAGGAAAACCAGCATCATTCATACAATCCTTTCTTATATGTATTGTAAAATGTCCATCATAGTACGGAGATCAATGGAAGATTATCTAAAGAACACTTTGATATATTTACAGTAAGCCTCTTCATGATAATTTAATGACAAATGATTTGTCAAATACAGATTAATACAATCTATGTCTAACAGATGACAGAACTAAAAACTCTTGATCTGGGGGTGCCTGAGTGGCACAGTCCATTGAGCATCTGGCTTTTGGTTTTGGCTCAGGTCATGATTTCAGGGGCATAATCTCAGAGTCATGAGATCAAGCCCTACATTGGGCTCCAGGCTCACCTTGGAGTCTGCTTCAGATTCTCTCTTTTTCTCCTTCTTACCCTCCCACTCGTGCTCTGTTTCTCTCTAAAATAAATAAATAAATCTTTAAAAAAATGAATAAATAACAAAGACTGACCTGGTATGATTATACACTAGTATCACTATACTACAAAAATTCAAGACTCAGACATGAATCAGAACTTGCCCTGATATGCAATGAGCAAAATACAACTTCTATATAAATCAAGAAAAATTAGAATAACTGTAAGCTTGTTTACTTGTTAGAGTGCCTCGTGAGGTACATCAGAATAAGGTTGGGGGTACTGAATTCAGACTTGGAACTTTGAATCTAATAATTAGTGGAAGAAAGAAACCATATTGTCCACTTAAGTAAATAATGAAATAAAAAACTATAATAAAATTTATTGTTAGTGGGAGTGAGAAGAAATAGAAAATGAAGGTAAAATCATCAAAGTTCTGAGTGATTCTCACAGGTCACAAGACCTATTAAGAATTAAAGACCATCAACAGCTTTTTCAACTCTCAACTCCTTCCAATAGGGAAGCAAATTGCTCAGGAAGGTCCCATCATGAATGAAATATTTCAGCCTTTAAAATTTGCTACACTTTAGAAACCATAATGATGTCTACATCATTATAAGTTATATCCAGATTCCCATGGGGTGTTTAGTTTTGCAGTTATATTTAATTTGGAGAATATATTTACATGACTTCATAATCAACTCTCTTCCATCTTAATATAAATTGGAGAGTGAATACTATTACTTTAGACAATTAATAATGAATAAGGATTTTTTTAATCACCCACCCAAAAGAGAAGAATGTTCCTGAGGATATGTCTCTAACAATAAATAAAGATTAAAAAAAATTCCTCCACCCAAAGGAGAAGAGTGTTCCTGAGGACATGTCTCTGTCTGCATTCATGGATCTATTCCAAGGTCCTCCAGGCATGGGAATTTCTTAAGTCCTTCTAATACCTCTATACACTTGATTGGATTCAGAAAATATAGGCAGACACCCTAGTGAACAGAAGTGCAATAACATGAAATTTGGTCTTCTTTTGTTCTTCTCTTTAGAATGTAACTTTTAAAAACATGCTTTGGAGTATTTATTACTTATCATCATGCTAATTTTCAGTGGATAAAATGTATATAGCAACCCAAGTGCACACAGATTTCCCCTTAGTAAGTATAACTTTAAAAGGAATTCTCATCTTTGTTCTTTCCAATCTTGGGCATTAATGGAGAAATTAAGGTTCTCAACCTTTTAATACATAATTATTGATCATTTTATATTAATACATAAAATTATTGAAAAGAAAACTTAGTGATAAGACTTCATAATAGACACATAAGTCATCCTCATATCAAGCAACACAGACCCCTTACTGTTTTTAAACAGAAAGCCTTCTTATTCAAAATCCAGAACATCATGTATGATTTGCTAGTATTGCACAATTGCGTGGAAACCAATACATTTAGTAGAACATTCAGGACTCACTAAAATAGTAGTAAGCAAATTAAAGAAAGTCCTGTCTAACTTGAAACTATGTTCCTTCCTAACTCTGTCCAAGTATCTTCATGGTGTTCAGAAAACAGAACAAGATCACCTCGATTAATTCCATTTTGCCTTGTGAAAATCTGCCGAATCATTGATTGTATAATTAGAAAGAAGAAAAATAAATCACTTTCATTTGTATTGCATGGGAAAATGATTTGGGGGAAAGGAAGGACTACTTGCCAGACTTAAGTTTGGCTCCCTGTCAATCATACCCAGACACTCAGTGGCCTTTTTACAGATGGTTAACAAGATGCTTCTGTATGGATAGCAAACAGAGGGCAGCCTGGGTGGTTCAGCAGTTTAGTGCCACCTTTGGCCCGGGCATGATCCTGGAGACCTGGGATCGAGTCCCACGTCGGGCCCCCTGCATGGAGCCTGCTTCTCCCTCTGCCTGTGTCTCTGCCCCTCTCTGTGTCTCTCATGAATAAATAAATGTATCGTAAAAAAAAAAAAAAAAAAAAAAAAAAAAAAAAACCAGAAATCTCCTCAGGCATGTACATGAGTGCATGCATGTGTATGTTAATTCTGACTTGATTGAATTAGAGATCAGACTAATTGAAGAAAGTTCATTTAAAAAGAGAGTTTTCACTTTATTTTTATTGTAGTGAGCAGTATTTTTAATTTTCTTGAAAGGCACCCAAGAATAATTACCTTTGTGAACCAAAAATATACAAAACTGTACAGAATAAATAGTTCATAGAAATCTAGCTATACTTTCTTGTAAAATAAAGCTACATTGTCCCACTCTTGAGACAACTTAACCACTTACCCTTAGACGTGACTTTTGCTACTAATTTATGGCAACTATCAGTTTACATCAATACAAATTTTTAAAAACACAATTTTCCCTATTTGCTTTATACCTGTGAATTATTACTTGCCACAAGAAACATATTTCTATCATGGTCATTCAAATTTATAAAGGATTAATGCTATGAAAGAAACCAAACTTAATTTATGCACTAATCATATTTACAGTTGAGTATCAGTAGCATTTTTAAAACATCCCAAGAATAAGAATCAAACTTTGAGCACAAATGACATACCTTAATTCACAGCAGCATTGACAATAAGATTGTCCACACAAAATGTGCAGAAAAACCAAAAAAGTTTGCTTATTCATCCACCTGAACTATTAATCATTCTTATTTTTAAAATCAGAAAGCATAGCAGTGACATTTTTCTAACCCTCCAATGTTCAAAGCTTTGGGCCACTCATGGCCTACATAGTTCAACCTCCTATTTTTTCTTTACTATTACTAGTCATAATTTTGAAGTTCCAGTTCCTTTTGCCTTTATCGCAAGAAAATTAGGTGTATCTGACAATGTACATTTTTGTGGTATATACTGATTATATAAACAATATACTCCTTATATATTATAACTACATATACAGGTATAACTTTTAAGTGACAAAGCCCAATTCTATTTCATCCACTGGTAAAGTAATTCAAGGAAATAAGGGTTGCTTAAATATTCAACCCTTTTAGATGTGCAAGAGGACTTTTCTGAAACACTTTTACGTATACCGAGAAATATCACTATAATCCTTGGATGATTTACATGCAAGGATTTATTTTACTGGGGGCAGGCAAAATTGCCTGAAGACAATGCAATGGCTTCTCCCAATGATCCCTGAGTTTCTTTTTCTTCTTTTTTCCCCAATAGGATTACTGCTGTGCTTTAGTTCTGATTGATGACACACTCATGTAAGGCACTTATTTACAAGATTGGACTTAGGACAGAATCACAGCATTTCTGCAAAAGCCCTCAATCTCTCCATCTATGTTTGCTGCTCCAGGACTTCTAAGTAGTCAGGTTCAGCATGTAGGTTAGCTTTAAGCTCAAAATACTCATTTTTAGTCTGTTCCACTAATACCTTCCTTGGCCTTGAGTACATTAGCGTCTCCATTAATTTTAACTCTTCATGGGCTCCAGGATAATGTACCTCCATATCAGGCTGCAGTTGAGTAATGTTCTTCCTTAGGTATTCTGTAATTCCTAGTTGCTGAAGTTCTCTTTCTTTCTCTAAAATGTTCCTATATAATGAACTGGCATCCTGAAAGGATAAAAATTCAGTTGATTGGTCTGTGGTTTTGTATTTCATATTTGACCCCGTGAGTGGTGAATGATTTTCCCGTTCTAAAAGACTTCTTTGGAGATGTTTTGTCTCACTTCCATCTTTCTCATTCCTTTCTTCTTCCTCTTCCAAATGCTTTGGGCCAAAGGATGGACTTCTATAGACATGAACCATGGGACTCACCATATGCTGCTCATACAGTGATGCTGTCGGTCTTTCAGTAGTGTGGTGAGTTGTTTTATGGCCATACATACTGTATTGAAGATGGACTGGACTGTTGTCTCTCATCTGCTCATCTGTTTGTTTCTTTTTGTATCGTCTCCTGCGGTGGAGAACAAGAACCACTATCCCTGCGGCACAGAACACAATGGTTATGAATACAATCAGCAGTCCTAGTATTAGAACAGATAGTGGTACAGCATCAGTAAGTGATCTTAAAATAGTATCAGCTGTAGTTGTGGTTGTAGGAGCGCTGACAATTATGTAGCTAGTTTGAGTTGGCAGGGATGGATTATTGACTAAACCTGGGCAAAGACGTTCACTAGTTAGTGCTTTTAATTCCTTTTTGTCTAGGTGCTCTGGAGAAGTGCAGAGGATGTCATCTGTTACTGTATTCTTACTCAATTTTTGTAGCCATTGTTGCAATCCAACCAAGTCACAGGAGCAATCCCAGGGATTGTCCTCAAGGTCGATCTGAGTCAATAAATCAAGGTCATCCAAGATATTACTGACAGGGAGATGGGTAAACTGGTTCGTTTTAAGGTTTATCCTCGTTAGAGAAACCCCTGAAAAGATATGTGGTGGTAAAACTTGTAGGAGGTTGTTATTTAAATAGAGGACTTTAAGTTTAGGCATTGGGTTAAAGGTTCCTGGTAATATTTCCTTAACTGCATTGTATTCAAGATATAAGTACTCAAGATTGTGGAGACCAAGAAACATGCCTCTGCTTAACTTGGTCAGATGGTTACCGTTCAGATAGAGCTTTTGCAATCTTGTTAGATTTATAAATGATCCTTCCTCAAGAACCTCAATACGATTGTTTCCCAGGTGAAGCATTTCCAAAGTGAAGTATTCCACTAGATCAGACTTCATTAATGTATGAATAATATTCCCTGCTAGAACAAGCTTTCTAGGATTTTGTGGAGGAGGTTTCAGATCTGATAAGCTTTCAATATTGCGCTCTTGACAGTGTACCAGAAGTCCTGATGGGGATAGTACTTTGCAATTACAAGGAATAGGACAGTAGGGTCCTGGAAGTTGAGTGAATGGCTTTGTAATATAGGGTATCAAGACTGGTGCTTTGGTGGCTGGTCTCAAAAGGGATGTGGACTTGGTTGACATGCGACTATCACTGATTGAAGACGTTGCTGCCAGATGTAATGATCCTGATGGATCCTCGTGTTCTTCATACACTGGTGGAGTGGGGCAAATTGATTCCTTTTTCAGTCTGCTTAGTATACTTCCTTTGAAAAACGGAGGGCTGTTGCATACGACATCACCAATTACGGACTGTGGAGGCATGTTTTCCAACCAAATTTTTAGCTCTAATAAGTCACAATTACAGTTCCACTTATTGTCCTCCAACTGGAGATCCAAAATCCGGCCAATGTGTTCTAAGAAACCAACGTAAGGCAATGTTTGCAACTGATTTCCACGAAGATCTAGATGGGTTAAAGGAACAAATCGAAATATGTTTGAAGGAAGACTCTCAATAGCATTGTCATTTAAAATTAACACTTTAAGTCTGTTGAGCTTGCTAAAGGCACTTGGTTCAATCACTGTAATGAAGTTGTTGTCTGCTTGTAGGAATTCTAGGTTTTCCAGTCCATGGAAGGTATCCTCTTTAAGAGTTTCTAAAGAATTGTGATTGATGTGAAGTTGCTTAAGAAGGCCAAGGCCATTAAATGCACCAGTCTCAATATCTGCAATGTTGTTAAATCCAAGGTGTAATGAGATGGCATTAGTAAGCCCAGAAAAGTCATTTGTGTGAAGCATTGTCAAACCATTATTTAATAAACTTAGGTGGAAAGGTCGTGATGGCGGCACGCTTATTTGGGATAACTTCTTGATACCTTTTTCTTCACAGTTTATTAGCATTGTGCCATCTTTTTCCTCACAATTGCAAAGAGAATCACAAGAACCTCTGACTGAGGACATTGGAGATTGGGACTGTGAAGATATACAGGCAAAAAGAGATGAATATAAGAGATGAATCCACAGCTTCATGTTGTCATGTGATGAAATTTGATTCTGTAAAACAAAATGCAACAGCAATGCACTTTAGTGGGCAGAAGCAGGAAAGAGATGAACCTGGTGATTATAAAATAAGAGGGTTTCCTCTAAAAAGAAAAAAAAATATTAATCACTTTGAAAATATGAATACCATGCTGCATCTATATTTTCTTTTATCATTTCTAATACTATGGCAACCATGTTTTGGTTTACCTTTAACTTGCACTGTGATAAAAATATAAAATTTAGTTAAAGGAGAATTTAAAATATTGTATTATCAGTGGTGTTCACATTTGCCAAATAAACTGCATTTTAATAATTGGACCATAGATACCTTGATTTGATGCAAAGGTGTATATTTGCAAAGACCTTGATTTTTTTTTTTTAACCAAAAAGTTGGTAAATCTAGGGCTAGAGGATTACAGTATAAGACAAATACATGGTTTTAGCCAGAAGCCAAGAAAACAGAAGGGGATACAAAAATGTTAGAAAAAGTTATAAAGGGATCCCTGGGTGGCGCAGCGGTTTGGCGCCTGCCTTTGGCCCAGGGCGCGATCCTGGAGACCCGGGATCAAGTCCCACATCGGGCTCCCAGTGCATGGAGCCTGCTTCTCCCTCTGCCTGTGTCTCTGCCTCTCTTTCTCTCTCTGTGACTATCATGAATAAATAAAAATTTAAAAAAATATATTTAGAAAAAGTTATAAAAATCTACATGCATGTATATATCTATGCATGTGTGCCTACATAATGCATTTCTTTTATTTATTTATATTTTTGAACTGGATGTCACAATATGACATCTAATAATTGTGTCTGTATTTTAACCTGCTTTGAGTTTGGCTCAAGATACTTATCAATTTTATTATCTATTTAAAAACCTTGGGAAAATAAGTCTCTGACCATGTAAGAAAGCAGATTACTAAGGAGGTCAGTTTTAACTATGCTGTCCAGGGAAATATGTATAAGCTTGATAGTATTAGATATATATGGCTAAAAGTACCTGTTAAAATTTCACTTGTCATACTCTATGCTGAATTTCTAAAGGTAGGATATTTCCTGATGCTTTTAAATTCTGTTATGAATAACATCAGTATCATAAACCTAAAGAAGAAAAACTGAGCTTTAAAACACATTTCTGGCTATTATGAAAGAATAAACAATGCCTCCTATAAAATTCTAGCAAATGACTTTCTAACAAGGACTTGAAACAGGCTTTAGGGCACTGAATGTCATCACATAATTAAGCAGTGGATCTCCCTTATTATTATAAGTCTTAAAGTCACAAACAATGAACTTTAAAACAAACTGTACTACACTAAGACATTTGAAGGTACCTCTAATTTGGTAAATAAAAAATGATAGTTCAGATTAACAACATCAAATATTCCAAATCCCTAAAAATTTAAAACATGTATCTGAAACAGCAATTTTTTTTCTAATTCTGAGGTGATGGCAGTGACTAGATAAATACACATAACTTCATTATATTTAATTGCATTTCTTTCCTTTAGTGTATCTTAATTTTGTATAAATTGAATTTAAGGGTAGATAAACACCATATCTCAAAACTCCTCAACTTTACCAAATGGTATCTGCTTTTATTTATTTTTTAATGGATTGTGAAAATAATTTTGAATCTACTTAAAATTCACATTCAGATAGAATATCCCTAAACCCAATCATTAATCATGAAAAATAAATCATCCCATGAAAATACATTGTTGCATGAAAACATGTATAGTATAAAGTTTCTGATTGGCAAAAGACAACGGAAGAAATAGAACAGTGCAGTGCCTTTCTACACAGAGGAAAGTTAGCAGTCTAAATGTTTCCATAGGGAAATTGATTTCGAAAAGCTGAGTCTATGCTTAGAATCCAACAGTTTATAGTTGAACTCCTCAACTTGTGGATTAGCTTCCACAAACACTAAAGTACTTCCTCATAGATTACCAAGAAAGAATATTATTCACTTCACCAGACACAGCATCTTCAGAAAACAGTAAATAACTTCCAGATGACAGTCTCTAGTTATTTTTTTAAATCTTCTATTCATTTCCTGTTCCTCAAAATGTTCTAGGGAACAGTTTCTAGTCTTTTCAGTGATGCACACAAATTTGAAGACCGGTCCTGTATTGATAACACCTGATCCAATGTTAAAGAGGTCAAAAATCTCCATTTACATATATTCAGAAAACATATTTTCAAGTCAGGAAATAATAAAAGTGGCATACAAAATACCAAGAATCTTAATATTCTGCCTATATTTTAAATTCGATAATGGTGTTTGGAAGTCATCTGCCCTTCAGAAAGCACACATTATTTAGTTTCCAATAACAAACTGCATGCTATGCAAGAAATAGTGGCATCTTATATTATTTATTCTTCTGTACAGCCAGCTGTTGGACTGTCTCCTGCTCAGAGAAAACAGGCATCTGCTACAGCATTAGTTGTGCCAATGAGTAAGAATGAAACTGGATAGCTTTTAATGCAAAGTTATTTTTTTAAAAGGACAAACATACAAATTCAATCACTTTAAGATAATGCAAAGATAGATATTAGAAAAGCCTGGAAACATTCATCTTACCTGTAAAGCAGAGACTCTTCCTGACGTTATCTGTAATGCACAGCTGGAAGAGATGTTCAAAGTAAATTCAGATTCTTTATTAAAAAAGAAAACACCAACCACTACGTACTTTCTTCTCAAATGTCACTTTTTGGCAGGTCCCATTGCTTCATAAAGTTGAAAAGCTCTGCTCAAAGACTAAATGCTGAGCATTTCATTGAAAATATTTCAGGCAGAGTGCATACTAGATCATCCTGAAGCAGTTGCCTTTTCTCCGCAATTAAAATTCACGGCATACTTCACAGCTATGCTGACTTTTTTTGCATATAGTTAACCATTTGCAAGCTGCTGAAAGCAGTAAATAAACAAGATGTTTCACAGAGCTGCATTGATCACTCTTGCTTTCTTGGTTGTAGATCCAAGCTGCAGCAGTGTTCTCTTTCCTCCCTTTCTAGTCTTTCTTGTTAGCTCAGTTTGTTATTAGTCAGATTGCCAAGGGCTGGGAGGTAGGCGTAAATAAAGAGACTTCTTGGCTTTTGACTCAGCCTTTAAGCCCTTCCCCAGCAGAGAGCTTTACTCAGCCAGTGTCATTTAACACAAGAGACAGCTCCACCTTGGGACCGTTCAACTCCTCCTCTTTCTGCAAAAGGCCTTTCCACTCCCTTTTAATACCAAAAAGAGTGCAAGTAAATTTTGATGTAAATAATTATGCACTGTTCTAAATGTTGTATAATATTTTGTATTGGATAGCAAACTAAATAATACAATATGTTACATTCTCAGCTAGCACAGTACTGTACTGTAGGCAGAAGTGTGCTGAAAAAAACTGCAAGCATGCTGCCTATAGAGTAGTTGCTTCAGGTTTAGTTTTTTTTTTTTTTCTGTTTTTACTGGTATTTGTGGTTGAAATGGTGCACTAATTTTTAAAATGTTAACATGAACTACTTTCCTGCAATGTTTGCATTTTCATATTCACCATTTATATTTTTTGAAAAGCCTCGTGCCAGAGACTCTAAGTCATACACTTCATTATTTCTTTCCCTACAGCTAAAGTTCAGTAATGAGATAGAGACAAGGTTCTTTTGCAGTTAAGATAATATTTATTTGGAGTGGCAATATGATTACTTTAAAACATATTCAAGATTTATTATGGATGATTGTCCTTAATCAAACACTCTCGAAAATCTGAAATTATGTCTCTTCAGGTAAAATGAAACAAGTTGAATATGTAGAAATTACAATATCCTGGTTTTTATGGTACTAGCTGGAGAGAGCATTTTTTCCCAAAAAGTTTCTATTTAAAAAGCTACTTGTTTCTTCAACTCTCAAAAGTTTCTGAATCATCACTAATAAAACATTCAACTGTCAGATTCCTTATTTCCCAAAATGCCTGTGTTTAAAAAAATCATTTCTCTTTACTTGTATTATAAGTACCCAAACTTTTTCACAATCAAAACGAATATACTAGATGCTATTATTTATTCATTTTGAAATATTCTGTTTAGAAACAACTTTGATTATAGGTTCTAGAGGCTACCTGTATAATATGATCATTCCAGGAAGAAAAAGCTACTTTTAAAAAAGAGACTTTATGTAGGTTAAATCATTAGAATGGGACAATATCCAATTGGATTATTATTTAATGATTGTCTCCAGTTATGTGCTCAAATTCATAAAGTTTTCATATCCATAGTGTGGAATAATTGCTTTAAAGATATGGATTTTGGAGCAGTTTTTAATATTTTCACATCCCTTTATATTATATTCTTTCATTCACTAAGGTCCTCATTTATTTTAATGACATTGTGTGTTTTAAGATGACATAGAGATAATGATACAGATAAGGGGGTAGGGAAAGATTAGAAAGGTAAGGAATCAGAGACTAAAGGAAATGAGAGAAAATCAAGGCCGGGAATTAATCTCAGGCACAATTTGCTGCTAGCTGACAGCCAGGTTACATTAACTTAGATCAATCTAATGATTTAGCTCAGTGGTGACAAAATTGATTTAGAATCAAAGGGAAAACAAGGAAATAGAATAACTTCCCTTCCAGTACTGTACACATAATTCTCCAAATGCATTCCTTTTGGTTTTGAAAGCAAGGCCACGGGAGAAATGTTCTGGAAGTCTGTGGAGGGCAAGTGGTTCAAACAGACATATGGACAAATAGAACTAAATTCCCTATGGATTGACACAGATTTCTTTCATTTCCCCCAATTTGAGGATATGTCTATTTTATCCATAACATGCACCTAGCACATATTTCAAGTTACTTATCCTGAATCCTTTGCCTATGTATGACATGTTGTTCTCATGCATAAATTACTGGTTAATTCAGTGGTAAGGGAGAGCAGTAACTAATGAGCCTTTTTAATAATTATTATTGTTTACTTTTTCTCTAGGTTTTGAGTTGGAACACAAAGAATGGCTTAGGTAAAGGCTTGTTTTAAGAAGCATTCTGTAACTTTTAGTTCAAAGGAGTGGTACTGTAAGGAATTACTCAGCTTTATCTTAAACACAATAGTAAAATATGTAACGGTACACTCAAAATGATTATAGCCCAATCCACTGTTCTCTATATTTTGTAACTGTAATTCCTCAGTTATTTCACTAAGTCAGTAATTCCACCATTCTTTCCAAAATACTTATGGCAGAACATGTCCTTGATTGCCAGAAAACACTTCATTTAACAGTATTTAGTATTTTCAGTTTCCAAGTGTGGCATGGAAAAATACTTGCCCTGTGTAGCTTTCTCCAAGTTTTGATAATAAATCATTAAGTGATCATAATAAATACTAGGTTGTGATACTGTTTGTAGATAATTTACCCCCCAGTGACTCTATATTGAAAACTGTTAAAAAATCAGTAATTATTTTGAATCACATACTCTATATTATGTCTTATTGTGACTTTTAACTACTTTTTAGAATGTGCATCTTCAAGGGCAAACATGAAAGTATTCTAATTACAATGAAGAATACCAAGCAGTCAGAAGAAATAAACTGACCTCTGTCAGTCATTTTAGAGCAGCACAGTGCACAGTTAGGATACCAGGACTCAGGAGAATGCCCGCTCTTTTGGGCTGACATGGATGGTGGGTGGGGGATGGGGTTGTAATCTTGTAATACAATATATTGCATATATTCTATATATGCAATGGTGACAAAGACCAGATGGAAGAATGTTTTATTAAATTTACTAGACTAATAATGCATGTGGGATAAATAGAATGAAAAGACCAACATTAGCATTGGAAAGAAGAAAGAAAAAATAATAACAATGAAAGAGATTGATTCGTGCTGTAGAGGACTAGTTCTACATCAGAGCATCTGTCCACCTTTTTCAGTGCCACCTTTAAATAGTAAAATGAAAACATATGTCAGATTGACTTAACACAAGAATCTGGAAGGCTTGAAGAGAAAGGTCTTTGTACCATCTGTAGTGTAGACTGAGGCATATTTACATATTCTGAAGGTAGAAACTATAACCTTTAGTCACTCTTTATGGATTAAACTATAGATGGATTTTAAATCTTCATTGATGATTTCATTCTTTTAGGAAACATTTAAACACAAAAATAACCCTACATTAGTGTCACTTTATGACTTTATGACACTTTATGTATATAATTATTCAAAAAATACTCAAGAAAAATTCTTGGGAAATAGCATTCCTATGGGCTCTGTACTATCACAGAATCACACTGAAATTCATGAAAATGCTATTAAAATTTAATATTACAGATATTTGCAAATAACCTCCAAATTTACAGGAATGTAGAAAGTTTGGGCATTAGTTTTACAAATATTAACAAAGACATGTTTTCTGTTTCTTATTTCAAGTGAAAGGTTTTCTTTGAAATTGTATATACTTTTGTAAACGTGTATGTTTCATTATAAAACTCTAAAGGAAACTCAAAAGAAATAAGAACATTTAAATCCACTAACAATCCCAGAGATTAAATCCCACTCAAATATTTGTTATTTTGTATTCCTGTCCTTTTCATTGTATAAAAAAGTAATAACTCTAATAATAAAATTTTACAAAATCTTTAAAAAAATAATTAGGTAATGTCTACTTAAATATATAACTGGACTTATTTACATAAATTCTATTCATAGAAGATAGCAAAGAAGCCTTTTATCTTCCACGATGCTAAGCTATACAGTAACCTTTGAATTTGCTTCTCAAATATTGAACTTAGAACTCTCTTTCATGTTTCACTGGGAAAGAAACTTGCTTCACTTTACCACCATTACTATTTTTTGGTTCTGTTAGAATCAGAATACAATAATTATGGACACTTTATCTTCTGACAATAACATGCAATTCAACAAAAGAAACATGACCTTTGTATAAAGAAAAATAAAAAATCACTCATCTTTTTAGCAAGAACATTTCTGTACATGAGAAAGACATTTGCATGTATTCATCATGAATAATGACTTCACTGAAGGATGCAAAATTATTTTAAATTTGTTTAGGCTTATATTTGTGATATTTAACCAGTTTTCCAGATATGTAAGTTTTATTTAGTTCAATGCATTATTTTAGTAAGATAAATATCATAGTCATGTAACCATCATAACCATGAATATTGTGTGTGTGTGTGTGTGTGTACTTTAAGATCATGGTTTAAGGTCATCTGTATGGAGATGATCGCCACATAGTGAAATGAAAGTAAAAATTTTACCACCATAAGATTAATTAGTTGATAGAGAAATTTAAATACCAAACTTAAAGTAAAAATCTGTGTGTCTTAGAGAGGAGTTTATATGATATATTTTATAAATCACACATACATGATTTTAGTAAACTTGCCTTTTGCATTGAATCTTTAATAAAAATATTAAATTGTTATTTAAATCTTAAGTTTCCTTCATGCTCAATCTGATCTGATAGCAAAAGGTATAAAACTAATAATGGAATTGCCTTATTCTAAGAGAGCTTTTACAATTATACTTCCTGTTTTAATTTGAAATGGTATCATTGAAATAATGACACCATTATTTAACTTGGCAAACCTGAAGAAAACAAAAAAAAACTTTCTCCTGGAAGCTTGGATTATAAGCTCTGTCTTCCTATAAATCATATTTATGATTCATAATATTATCTACTTCAAATGGATAACTAAGAAGACTTTTAAAAAATTATCTAAAAAAAACCTAAAACATATTGATGAATGTTTTTCAGTGAATAATGAGCAGTCTGAAAGAAAACAGGGTCCAGTGTAATAATGGTAGACTATGAGTTATTTTGATTGCAAAAACTCCCCTAGAGGAGGTTATTATCTACTTCTTTTTTTTTTCTATAGTACTATAGAGTGAGCTGCATATAGGAAACATTCAAATAAATAGTTATTGAAGTTGAATATTTTCTTTGTATGTTCTCATTATCCTTTAATCTTAGAACACTCGTTCTTAGGAATATATATATAATATAAAATTTTAAAACTTATTTATATATTGTATATAAAATAAAGTTATTATATATGATAT